ATATCTTTGGGGGCATGCAAGCCTCCTGATTACAGGTAATGACTTACCTTATAGGAAGGGGTTATAACATAGGCAATACGAGTAATAGGAGGGGGGATGACCTAGCGGTGTACACGCAATAGTTCAGGGAGGGACTAGGGGTACATATGTGGCAAGATGGGCGGACCCCAGATTCAATGTAGTAGCCTAACCTTAGTCATCCTTGAGTGGGCCCAACCTTGCCTTTGGGCTCTCCTTCAAGGGAACCATCACTATCCTTATCAGCAGGGAGTGGGCCCTACTTAAGGTGGGACAGACTATATAAAGTGACTGCTCTAGATGGCTGATAACCCTTAGGGAGACTAACCTCTGACCTGCTTTCATTGACTTCCTTGTGTACAGTCATTTACCACGTGTAGCAAGCAGCGTCTTGGGTTTGGCATATATTTGGGGGAAACAGCTTGGGAGAAATCTTTCTGTATCCCACAATCTGGAATGGCAGCTGCAATTGGAGTCATCACCTGGTTACGTTTACAATAATCTCCAGGATCCATCTGTTTTCTTTACAGGACAAATAGGTGAGTTAAATGGGGATATGGTAGGAATCACCACCCTTGCATCATTTAAGTCTTTGATGGGTGGCACTGATCTCTGCAATCCCTCCCGGAATGTGGTATTGCTTTTGGTTTAATATTTTCCTAGACAATGGCTGTTCTCATGGTGTCCACTTAGCCTTTCCTACCAAATTCGCCCTTATTCCACATTTCAGGGATCCATTATGGGGGTTCTGCCAGTTACTAAGTATGTCTATTACAGTTATGCATTCTGGAACTGGGAAAATAATGAAAGGATGGGTTCAAGGGCCCACTGAAGTCACAATGAAGTGTATCAGAGCTACATCCATTGATAATGACCCCCATATGCCCCCACTCTGACTGGCAGCCCTTTGAAACACTTTGGGTTTCCTGGAATTAGTTCAGTTCAGAGCCGGTGTCCAGTAATCCCTGAAAAGTTTAATTATTTCCTTTTTCCCAATGAACAGTCAATCTTGTGAAAGGCTGCAGGTCCCTTTGGGGAAGGCTAGAAGAAAGACTAACAGTATAAACCTTCGGTGATGTAGCAGGATCCTCCTTCAAAGGGATCTGGCCTTCCCCTCATTCAAGGGGTTGTGGGTCTGTAAACTGGCTCAGGTCTGGGAATTGATTGAGTGATCATGATTCTCTAGTCTGCTGTTCACCTGAGGTAGCATTCTTCCGCCTGTATAGATCACGTAAATATTTAGTAGGTTTCCCATGTATTTTACTCCTAGGGACACAGTGGCTTAGTAGCCAGTGCCATAATTCAACACAAGAGACAGGTTGCTTTGATTACTACAGAAATCTTGTTGTCTTTTATAACCACGCCCACCTTGTCTCTGTTGCTTCAGTGCTGACACCTGCCCTCTACCACCACAGGGACCAATCAGCCCCATTGTAGGCAAATATGGGAGTTCATTTAGGGCAGTTCCACTGTTAATCCTGGTGCACATAAAATAGCAATCACGGGAATGTTCAGAGATGCTGGGGCCCATTTCACAAACTTGTTCCTTATGGTTGTGGTAAAGGGTATGTCCTCAGGACACGCCCTTTTTGGGTCTATGGGAGTATCTGGAGAGATCCATTCCAACATAACAATTTCCCTAAGCTTTTGGAAACCTTCCTCTACAGTGTACCAAGGTGGGTCAGGTACCTCAAGGTAGTCTAATCTAGGCCATCTGGCAGCCCATGCTTCAGTGAACCAACTAAATTAGAAATTAATTCCTCTCTTAACCTCTCTCGCTGAGATAGTGAAAGAATAATCTGATTAGGAACCCCATATCCAGAAACTCAGACTGATCTAATGTTGCTTTCCTTGCACCAGTATCCCACACCCTTAGTCATCATTCCCAGGAATATTCTCCTGGCTTCTGCTTGTACGTATTAGAAAACTCAAGCAGATCTTTGTGAGTATAGCACGCTTCTTCCTGAGTAATCATCTTAGCCTCACCTTTAGGAGCTTTCTGAGCCTTAATTTTAGTTACAGGTCTACACAGGAAAAAACACCCGGTGTTTCCCGGGTGCTCTCAGCAATATCCTGCAAGGCAGTGCTTCTCAACCTTCCTAATGCTGCAACCCTTTAATACAGTTCCTCGTGTATAAAACCACAAAATTATTTTCATTGCTACTTCATAAGTGTAACTTTGCTACTGTAGTGAATCAGGCGACCCCTGTGAAAGGGCTGTTCGACTCCAAAGAGGTCACGACCCACAGGTTGAGAGCCGCTGCTCTAAGGCATCTTCCTCAGGCATTGCTCCAGATGCATCCCCACCTGGTGTTTCAGCTTGAGCAGTTTGGTTAATCTGCTCAGGTGTGGGTAGTTTTACTGATACTGGATTAATCCCCTCAGCTGGGAGGGGTGGATCTATTGACTGGGGTGACACAATCATTTCTAGGGCTCAATATCCTCCTCTTCTGGATCATCAGCCCATATATTCCCATCTCATGTTTCAGGGTCCCAACATTTTCCTATTAATGCCTTTACTTTAGTGTCAAAACACTGTTCTAGACCTGCTGTTCAGCTGACGTCATAATTCAACTACTGGTATGATGAGACTCTGAATTTGGTTTTCAGCGACATCAGTTCTATTACTGGAGGAGAGAAGGCTCTCCTTTGTAGCACTTCCAGAACTGTTATTCAGCACTTGAGATGTGCTTATGAGGTTCTGAGACTATCCCTCTCCTTAGTCACACTTTCCATTGTAAGGAGGACCAGCCAACCAGCTTCCCTATACATGTCATCCTGACAAAACTGCTGGAAAATATCAAACATACGATCACCCAGAGGCTCTCCTCCAACCAGATATCTATCTATCTATCTATCTATCTATCTATCTATCTATCTATCTATCTATCTATCTATCATCTATCTATCTATCTATCTAAAACATAAGAATTAAACAGCTAATTAGTCTGTAGAGCAGTACAAATGGCTCAGTGCAACTCACTTCCATGAGACAGCTAATACACTGGCAGTCCTTCAAGTCATGAGGGTTGTCAGGTGCAAGTTCAGGAAGCAGACAGCTGAGTCCTCTGTAGAGCAATTCAGGCAATCCAGCCACAGGCAGTAAACAGCCGGTTACCAACAGTCAGCCAAATGACAGGGTCCGATAGTCCCCAGCTCAAGTGATGTATATTCCAGTAGTTTGGCGAAGCAGGTCTTGAAAAAGGATGCAAATAAAGAGAGGCACAGAGTGAGATGTGTGGAAGAGTTCCCATGTCCCACATGCATCAAATATCTTTCCCTGGCCAGGAAGCTCTTGGAGGGTCTGTGTTCACAATTTTTATTGGCTTCATTATGTAGGCATGATTGGGGCCTCAATGCATAGACATGATTGATTGAATCATGCCCTGCCCCTCCAGGAAGTCATCTGATAGGGTCTTTGTGCCAGTCGCATCTACAAGAAAATATTTATAGTACCCATTTTGAAATGATACAGAGAATTTGTATCCAGAATTACCAAGATGTCTTATGAATGTTTAAAAAATGGCTCAATTTTTAAAAATGAGAGATTTTTTAATATATATTTGAACCAAGTTATATAAATAGGCAAACACATAAAAACTGTTCTATGACATTTGACAACAGTTAAATCGACAGCAGTAAAATCACAGTGAAATAAGCTTTTTGCAGTCATTAAAACAGCTAGTAAGCTTGATAATACCAAATGCTGAAGAGTTTGTCGAGCTCGTGAAACTCTCGCCCGTTGCTGGTGAGAGTGTGAACGGGTAGAACTGCTTTGGAAAACTGTATGGCAGTTTCTTAGAAACCTAAGCAAGCAAGTTACTGAGTTAAGCCAAGTTACTAGATCTACTCTTTGGGCCAGCGATTCCTCTCCTGTATTTCCTAAGAGAAAGGAAGATACTTCTTTAAAAAGAAACAAACAAAAGCATTTTTTGCAGTTTTATTCATAAAATCCCCAAACTGGAACCAACCCTGTCCTGTCAACAGGACAATGAACAAACATATCTAAGTGTATATACTTTTTTTTTTGTATATCAAAACATACAGTGACTATTTTGGAATAATATTTATTTTTTTAAAATGGACTAAAATACAATGATATAGCTATAATTTAAATATTGACAAAATACACACTCTATTTATATAAAATTCAAGAAAAAGAAAAACTTATCTTTGATGTTGGAATCAAAATAACATTTGCCAGGGTGGAGCGGACAGATTGACTATAAAAGAGACACAAGGAATGATAGAGATATTCTGTATATTGATTATGGAGGGAATCACACGGATTTACACTTACAAAATTCACCTGTTGTACATTTCACTGTTTCTAGATTTTACCTTACTGGCTTTTTTGTTTACTTTTTTAAGTAGCTCAAAGATTCTCTGCCTTTTGAAGGGATGGATAGCTATGGCACTTTAACCCTCAGAATACATTAGCACTATTACTATTTTATGCATTTTTGTGGTTAAAAACCCATACTATAAATTTAACATCTCATAGTACTTGGCAATTCTCATTTAATTAGAAAGATCCCACTGCCATTGAGTGGAGTCCAAATCATAGCAACTCCATAGGACGGGGTAGAACTGCCCCTGTGGGTTTCCAAGACTGTACTCTTTATGGAAGTAGAAAGCTTTATCTTTCTCCTGCAGAGCGGCTCATGGTTTCAAATTGCTGACCTTGCAATTAGCAGCCCAATGAGTAACCCACTATGCCACCAGAGCTCTAAATAGAAAGATATATGTAGAGAATTGGGTTCACATGAGGCAGAGAACTCATCTAAAGCCATCAGGAGCATAACTTCATTTTTCTAGAATATATTTACAAGGTTATTGGAAGCATCATATGAAAACATTTTGACCAAGTTAGTACTTAGTGGGTCTTTCAAGGTCAAAGATAGGAGCTTTTGTCTTTCTTCTGTCAGCTCTTCTGAGCCTGATGCACACCATGCTATTTCATGTGTTTGGTTCTTTTGCAGCCGAAGTGTACACTTAAGACCTATTTTCCCTATGCGTCTCCGTTTCTTGTCATGGTTCTACTCCAGCACCCTAAAGGTAAGTTAGGGTTCACTTTACCCATATTTATATGCTGTCTGGGAAAGATCCTAGCTTGTCCTCTCCTGACTCTATCTGTAGCATTAAAACATAACCCACTGCCACTGTGTCCGTTCCAACTGATGACCCTATAGGACAGAGTGGAGCTGCGCCAGTTTCCCAGGCCGCTAGGCCCAGAAGCAGACTACCACATCTTTCTCCTGCAAGGCAGCTGGTGGGTTCAAAGCACATTATCTTTGCTTTTGAAGCCAAGTGCTTCACCACTGCCAACAGAGCTCCTCTCTAGCACGAGGGCATCAAAATTTGTTTGTCATTTCCAAGGTCCCTGAGGACAGGGCAACTCAGTGGTAGAATTATTGCCTTTCACGTAGGAGACCCAGGTTTGATTCCCAGCCAAGTGCACCTTGTGCAGCCACCACTGATGCTTGTATGTTTCCGGGGATCTTCCAGACCAAGAGGGTCTTGGTAGAAAGGCTTGGTGATTTATTTCCAAAAAATCAGCCATAGGGTCTTATGGATCACAATGGTCAGATCTCATGGTGCATGAGATCACCATAAGCTGGGGACTGATTCAAGGCAGGTAACAAGAACAAAATGAACTTAGGAAGATCCCCAGAAGAAACAAATGGTGCCCAGTTACCACTACCAACTTCTCTGAAAAAGATCACATTAAAAGGTTCTTAATAGAGTGGAAGAAAACTGTGGGCCAGAACTCAAAATCACAATAGAGACTGGTGGGACCCCCAAGACTATGGCCCTTACCCTTCAGGTCTAGAACTGCTAGAAGTGAACCCATCTCTGTGATACTGTAACCAAATTTAACATCAAAAGGGCAGAGAGGTGGGACAGAAGGAGGAATATAGTCAGGAAACAAGCAGGAAATAGATTATGTGATGGTACCTTGAGAGTTTTGCAATGGATGAGTTGAAACAAAATGTGTATGAACGGTTGAGTGTATAACTGATAATCTGCTTTGTGAACCTTTACCTAATTCCCAATAAAAGGTTAAAAAAAATAAAAGAATTCAATCCCAGGATCTCCCTTTCTGTGGCTCTTGAGATGAGAATTTATTTGACTATCCAGTTACCATAACTTAGCAAAAGAAACAAAAGGACTATAGTTAGGGTTTAATATCTGCCTCTGGAACATAAGCACCTCAGCTAGTAAAAGCCAGATCTACTTTGAAGCCAGGAACAAGCTAAGACATGGCTGAGTTAGATTAAAACAGTACATTTATTTGTATTTCATTCTTTCTGTTAAAATTATGAAGAAAGTTAAGAGTAAAATTTCTTCTAACCCAGAAAAGGTTGTTGAAACAATTCAGTAAGATATTTGTGTTAGTCCATAGCTTCTCCTATTTTCATCTGCTAGCCTTTTCCATAGGCCAGGTTCAGTTAGAGCAGCGATGACTCCATCCTTAGTTCAACTGGTGTGGACCAGTTAACTGTATCTCTGAGCTCGCCTTTGGGAAGTATGTCGGAGATGAGAACTACATCGTCCTTTTCTTGAAAAGCTTGAAATCTACAGGAAAGACAGCATCAGTGCGAGCACATGTTGTTTCGTAGAGGAAGGCAGTTTTCTGGCCCAAGAGGAAAGGGCTGAAACACTTTATGCCTTATTGCTGCTGCCTTTTCCCCCCTGCAACTTGAATAAATAGATTCATTGGAGGAAAACTGGTCATTTAAACTTTCAGATAATTTTACAAACTCTAAATACTTAGTCCTTTCTTGAAAAGATAGAGGTTCTTGACCAAAGTATACCATTTGACAACTGTCTTTTCCGATCCTGAGGCTCTAGGTGACAGGCGTAGGTGGAATCTCTGGTTGGTAGTTTTGTGAAATTTTAACCTTTGGGGACACAATGGAACAAGACAGAAAAAAAATCAATACTTTCTCGAGGTACTCCATACCGCTTCTGTCAGCTCAGCCATCCTAACAGTAATTTATGGCAGAAGCCCAGTGAACAGCTGAAAGAATTTGGAGATATTAAGTTTTGAAATCTCTAAAGAAAGGATGAAGGTATTGCCTGGGCATGAATTCAATCTCATTACCTTTTCACTTTTGTGAATGTTCTAGATTTATGGCCAAGTACAAAGAGAAGTACGAGGGTTTCCTAGGCTGGTTCCTAGAATAGCTGCCCAAGTGATGGCCAAAAGATAATTACTTTTGGAAAAACTAAAGGTGACAGTCACCAATTCAAGTATCTTTAATGGTGTGATCTGTTATTCATCAGAAATATTTCATGCCCATTGTGAAGTCTTGTGGGATATAAAAAACGGTATAAATTACAAGTCCTTGTGTATTCAGGAACTGCAAGTATGGAGGGGAAGTGAAATGAAGATCTAAGTACCCAATACACTAGCAAAATGAAAAATGCTTTAAAGAGACTAGAAGTCAAAATTTAATGGAAGTGCTGAGGAGGAGAGATAATAAATGACCTAAATCTGTAACATTTGTGAAGTAGTCATGGTTTATGTAATGTATCACTTACATTATCTTTCTCATGTATTCAATTTAAAAATCTATCACTACATGAAAATGTGGTAACTTTCTTCTGATGTTGGTTAGAACCGCAGGTACATACATGTTCAAATGTGTTAATAACAAAGGATAATTGTGAAACCAGCAAAATTTAGTCAACCAAAGACATTTGTTTCTATGATACTCATGTGACTTTTATTCCCTGGCTTTTTCTTTACGATCTACCTGAAATCATATTCTTAATTCATCACAGTCAGGAAGGCAGTTAGACAATTGATTCCCAATTTCCGCTCCCTGTTTTATTCATTTCCATTATTTTGAAATAACAAATGATTAGTCATAGAAAGCAAGGTAGAAGAAAAAAAATCCAACATAGCATTTCTAAATCCTAGGATGAGCCTGTGTAGGCAGTCTTTATCTACTATCTCACACCTTACAAATCTTTCTTTCCCAGTTAAAAGAGAGAGATACACAAAACTCCAAACCAATTGTCATCCACTCATCTCTGGCTCTGGTAACCCTCCTGATGGGCATCGGAGGAGAGCTGTTCCCTCTGGTTTTCAGTGGCTGGTGCTTTCAGAACTAGATCATCAGATCTCTCTTCAGAGGCACCTCGGTATGCGCTCAAACCACTAACTGTTCAGTTAACAGCTGAGCACAGGGCAGTTTGCACCATCCAGGGACTCTGAGAATGTCTTTGGCAAGGCAAACCATACAAATAGGTGGTGTGACTTCCAGGAACCAGACAGAGAAATGGAATTTTCCTAAACAACCTCCCCATCTGAGTTGCAGATGTTCTTTTTCGTTGGCCCTTCCCTGACTGCTTGCTCCATCCACAGATGTCCCGCAGCGACTTTGGTGCCGGTCCTTGACACACATCTCTGCAACCCTTAAAGAAACGGTAGAAAGCCAGGCTGATGGGTGAGCAAACTCCATCCGTGGTTTCTCTTGATCTTCATCTTCCATTTGAACAGGGCTGACAGGTGAGGGATGCTTGGATGTATGCCTGTCACCAAGCAGGTAAGTGCCATCACAAAGGAGAAATATAGCAGCAGCTAGTGCCTTTTGAGCTGGTTAGAATCAGCAGGCATACTTGGGGTTATACCTGTTACAGGAACTGCTCTAAGTAACACCTGGTTTTACATTTTCCAAGAACATGTGTAATAATGAAAAGAATAATACCTTGAAAAACTTGGCACCCACCTGTTGGGAATCCATACCATACAGAAAGGGTCTAAGGGTCTCTCCTCTCTTCATCTTCTCCATCTCTCTAGGGTAGGGGGTTATAAACTTTTCTTGCCTAGTAGGATGGAATACTAAGTATTTATTTCTCCTTTTCTTTCTTTCTTTTTTTAAATTCATTTTATTAGGGGCTCATACAACTCTTATCACAATCCATACATACATCAATTGTGTAAAGCGCATTTGTACGTTCATTGCCCTCATCATTCTCAAAACATTTGCTCTCCACTTAAGCCCCCGGCATCAGTCCTTTTCTTTTTAATAAGTATGAGGGTGTCAAAAAGTACTGCAACCAGGATTGCCATTCATACATACAATGTTTATTCCAAATAAAACATGTTAATGCATGTCTGCAATCAGTGAATGACTGCAGCAAAGTTCTCTCGGGAATTTACTTGTTTTGTACTTTAAAAATGTTCAGTCACAACTTCCTCATTCAAAACTTGTTTCTGAGGGGCATCTGCTGGGTCGTTTACTTCTAGGTAGTGAGATCAGTTCAAGACAGGATTGTTCAGGGGAACCCTAAAGGGATAATCTTGACAGATTTTCTCAAAGGACACAAGATAATCAAGGAGGCTACTTAGGAAGAAGTGTCTGTCTGTCTGTCTGCTTGTTTGTTTTGATCGCACTGGTGATGAAAAAGGCCAGGAAAGTTGCTCTGAGGAACTTTTCCCTGTGACAACAATGCACCTGCGTACTGTGTCAAGGTGGTAAGGGCGGCATGACAAGAATTTAATCAGGAAACTTTATGCTATTAACTTTATGGTCCAGGGCATCCTGATCTTACAGCTCCTCAGTCTTCTTTTTGTTCCCCAAACTCAGCATTGACAAGAAACACAAATGAGCCCCTCAGAGATGCCAGAACTGCCATTTTGATATGACACGGATTAAAGAGCGCGGACTCCTTCAGGGGAGGGTGGACAAGAGGTGGAATTGACACCTTTGAGTTGTGTAGTTCCAAATGGAGGCTTCATCAAGAACGAGTAGCCTCATAAGTTGATTCTTCTTTTTATTTTTAACAATTTGATGCTTTTGTTTAATAAAAGTCTATGATATTGTAACAATATTTTAATGTAACCTCATATTTGTCCAAAATCAGGGAATCCATTCTAGCATTATGTAGTTGTTATTAATGTTGTTTGCTGCCATCAGGTCAGCCCTATGCACAATGTGATTAGAACATTGTGATCTACTGGGTTTTTATTGTCTGATACTGGTTGTGGTCTGCTGGTTTTTTATTGCCAGACTTGCCCTCCTAATCTGTAGTAGTCTGGAAGCTCAAGTACTCTATTACATTATTTAGTTTCCTAAAAGCATTTCCATTTAGGCTTTGCTAAGGTCTTTTTAACATTACACCTTTGAGCTTCCTCTTAACTTCCTTGCTTTTGGAGTAAATAAATATAGGGGTTTTTTGGTTTGTTTTTTCATTTGCTGTGCGGTCTACAGCCTTTATTGGTGACTCTGGCCATGTGCTCCTCTTGGAGTTCTCCACAATCTTTTCACTGAGCCCACGCTGATGGCTGGTCCTCCTTTTCCATGATCACTGTTGGTGCCAGTAAGTCTCTCCTTCCCTTTAAGATTCTCCACAGTACATTGAGAGTTGACAAAAAAGAACGAACCACCAAATGGGGATCAGAGTTACCTCAATACACACCCTTCCTGATTATCTCTGTTGAAAGCAAAACATAGACCAAAGCTTCATGCTCCTGCCTTAATCTATACTGTAGGATCCACGAAGGGAGGAGTTCAGGTTCAGGCACTTCCTCAATCAGCCAGGGACTCCCCGCCCCCATCACACACTCAGTTACTGGTAGAACAGAGTGGCCAGCCCCATCTTTGTAGGTCTTGAGCTTGATCCATGTGTGATTCCAACAAGAGCGCAGGGCGCAGGGGAGCTCCACTGCTCACCTTGTTCTCCTGGGGTTGCTCTGGTGGAAAGACACAGCACAGCCTGTACCTTGCTTGGAAAAGTTGCCACCCAAACCCAAATAGCATGGCCTTGTGGAGCCTCTCAGGAACAAGGAAGTAAGGCTAACAATACTCATCCCATCCTTCCTTCCTTTTCTTACCCTCAAGCCAGATTTCAGAACTTTTATCCCTTATTCTCAGGGAAGACTTGCCTGGGAGAAAAGTCAGAACCCAGGGAGGTGAGGACAGTGCTTAACTTAACACTTGGGAATGCCCTGGACCACGTAGACAGACGTCGAACCAGATCCAAGCAAAGGCAGAGTCACTGGTGGGGGTCCCAAACACTCATGTACGAGCCATATCCCCCAGTTCAGAAGGAAAGTTCCAACTTAACGTGGTCTCACAGTCCATCCTCTCCTTTTTTCTCCAGAGGAGATGTTAAATATCTGAGTGTGTCACTATCCAAGATTAATTGTTACGCACCTTGATCAGATTCTACCCTTTCCACAATGATTGCAACTCCCCAGTCCCAGATGAGGCAGGAAGTAGCTTCACAAAAGTTCAATGTATAGGTGGTGACAAGAAAGAATACGGAGTGTGGCTGGTTAAAATTCCTAATTGCCAAAATAACCACCCTAACTTTTTGTGGAATCCAGGGCTTCTAACGGGTTCATTCTATTTCACCCCTGTGCTCAGAGCTTTCACCTCACCCCAGGTATACAGAGTCAGAATCTAAATTTTAATAAGATCTCCAAGTGATTCTTATTCACCTGAGGCGCTAAGAAAAAAAGAATGAAAAACACACCCCACTCCCATGGGGATCTTGTTAAAATGTAGGTTTTGATTCAATCTATCTGGAGTGGGGGAGGCGTGTGTGTGGAATCTTAGCAGGTCAAACTGGAATGAACCAGTTCAAAGCCCTGGCATTGTCAGAAGGAAAGACACATGAACCTTGCTGCCATCGCTAAAGAGTGGAGCAACGCCCCCTCCCTGGCTCCATCTGTACCCTGGGAGCCTGCCTCTTTTCCTGGCCCTGAGAGCAGCACCATCCGCAGTCCTCATTTTGTACCTTCCTGTCTGCTAGGGGCCACACTTTCTCAAAGTGTGTGCTCACATGGCTCCCTGGATGTGCAGATTTCAATGTTTGTCACCTCCTGACACCTGGTCTCTGACAGGCATCTCTTGGAACACCCTGGCCTGAGTGCAGAGGGCATTGTCTGCATCTGACTTGCCTTCCTTGCAAGTTGTACTTTAGTGGCTAAGCACAATTTTAGCCAACCTTTCACAAGCATTTGCATCTCTATAAGAAGATAAGGAAAACAGGTGGCCGCTGTCATGGATTTTGGTTCTGTTCCAGGTCCCATGGAGGCGCCTTTGAGAGCTGGTTTTTGTTCACTCACTTTGGCGGATGGGCTGATATTGCGGCTGAGCAGTTGCTGATGTCAGACGCCGAACCCACAGAGGCCCTGCTGTGGCTCCTGGCATTCTCCTCCAGCCCCCACGATGGGAGTCAGCAGAGAACACAAACCATGGTGGGTGGCATGGCCCAGTACGTGAGGTGCGCAGACTTCCGGCTCGGTCTCAGGTTTGGCCTTCACAAAATCACAGCCACCACAGCTGTGCACTCCACAGTAGACAAGAGTGAGAGTAAGTGCCCATGTGGGTGCCAAGTGGCTGCCTGCTGGTTCTGAGGCCCCCCTCTGCTTTCCAAGAGTGGACTGGAGACAAACCCTGGGATCCCACATTCCTGGGATGGGAGTCTTGTTGCATATTCCATCCTGCAGGATGTCCGACCTGTTCTAGCTCAGCTGTCAGGGCTGTTGTCCCTTCACAGGCCACCCAGCCTTTGCTCGTGTCCTCAGGGACTGTCCCTCGGGTCATACAGAATTCTCGGAGGATTGCCAACCTGCAGCGAGCCTGGCCTTCCGCCCATGTCCTCTTTCTGACCACTTGCCGGGCCATGACTATCCCAGACTTGACTGCCTGCTTTCTTGGACCAGACAGTGGAGCGTCACGTGGCAGCTTTGTTTAGAACTCTTACTACAGGAATCACATGATATTAAGTAACTACTTTGCTTCTGAAAAAGAACTTGATAATTTCCTGAATAGTTGCAGTTAAGTACAGGAGCTGTAACTATGGCAGAGACAATCATTCTGTATGTGAAAATAATAATGACAGGAAGTGGTGTTTGATTGAAGGCATTGGCACCTCCCCTGCAAACACATTTATTTGCCTGCTTTAGAAACTTCAATTGCCTGTGCTTTTTGCTGATGTTAATAATGAAAGGCAACAGGTTTCATTATGTATAGAGCAATGCTCATGTTTGCTTTATATCTTCTGTTGTTTAAAAACATCAGACACTCGTATAAATATGTCTGTAGATTTCATTTACTTAAAGGTTTCCATGGCAAGAAAAAGAATGAATTTCACATTTTAAAAAGTTAAAATTTGGAGGTAATTTGCAATAAAAAATATAACTTTTCAAAGTGAAATTATCATAATCCACAAATGTCTAGTTAAAAAGGAAAACTTTTTTAGATACAATATATTTAGGAAAATCCTAGTTTGTGATTTTCAGCATCTTATTTTAATAAGATATATTTCATATTTGATTCCCTAAAAACTAAATTAGAAGGTAAGTGTTAAAATTTATATTGGTCATAGATTCTGACAAAGATTTATTTTTGAAATATAGAGAACTAAATTGTCTAATAAGGTTTAATTTCTAGAATGTCCTGTGTCAGCACATTTTGTACCCCTTACATTTTAAAATTTTAATCTATGCATAAAATCAGTTAGGAAAAGCTTAAGACATCTTAGAGAAAAGTAAACTATCTCATTCAGTCTTCATTTACTTATTAGCAGTTCTATCAGGGGT